CCATGCCTAAATATAACTCACCATTATTTATTGATGAGTAATATCCATAGTCACCGAGATGAGGCATATCCGCAAATTCTGGCCCATACATTGCACCATAATCAGCTTCATACATGTGTGCTGGAGGGTCAGTTTGTGCCACGTTTGTTGGAACTTCATCCACATCATCATCATCATCGGAGTTGAATTGCGGTGATTCTGGGTGAATGAATAGTCCAGTCTCAGCACCATTCGCACCAGGCTCACGAAGCGGTTCTTCTGGTGGAGATGATGGTTCCTCGATGCTCTCCACATTTAGGTCAAAGAACCTACTACTTGCACGCCTTCCCCTTGAACTGGAAGGCATATCGACATTCATATCGAAAAAGCTCGCAGTCGAATGCTTCCCCCTAGAGCTTGAAGTCATCGTGTCAAATGGAAACTGCACATATTGTTGCGTCGATGGCATCTCCATATTAAGGTAAAAGGGATTTGCAGATGAATGCCTTCCCCTTGAACTGGACGCGATGTTGCCATACGGATTGTTCGTCGACCCACCTCGGTACATATCGTAAGAAGTTGCGGATGACTGTCTCCCCATTATGGCATTAAAATCATTACACATTACTGTCGTCGGGCTGTCAACTTGATCAACTTGTTCAGCCAGCCCATAGTGAGAGCTTAATGATTGACCCCGAACAGCACACACTTGAATAAAATTTGCATACATCTCAATATCGGCGTCTGAATAATTACTTTGAGCTTCAACCATCATTCAACATCATCATTGTTCAAAAGTTCGAACGCTATATAAGTTAATGGCAACAATGATGTTGGAAATCTGTACTGCAACGACGTCATTCTTCTACTACTTCCAACATGAATCTTCATCGAAATCTTCGTTGTCAACTCCTCAAGAGTTATGTTTCTCTTCAATGATATTTTAACACGCTCATTTGATACGAAAACAACGCCAATTTCATCTTCTCGAATTTCTCCATCATAATAAACAATAGTTGAAAGTCGCGTCATTCTTTGAGTTTAAAAGTGCTGCAATATTATATCTGTAAAAAAATAACTAAAACAATGCTGATTAAATAAATAATATATGAACGAAAATATAACACAATAAAATTTGTACACATAAACGTAAATAATTTAAATAATATAATTTTATATTATTACCTGTACCGCAAAACTATTTCGACGTATATTCCTGCTTTCTAATTTTACAAACACAGAAATTAATTGGCAACAATTAGTATAATATTTTTTCAAATAATCATAATAAACAATAAGTATAATAAAAAATTTATCACAAAAATACCTTATAAAGAAAACTCGCACAAACTTCTGAATTAAATATGAGAAGATTGTTGGATTATTGTATTAATTTTTTTCTAATCGAGAGGAGATGTGAGGAGTTACCCCGGGAAAAGGGTATTTATAGCCGAGAAAAGCTACAATACCTACACCGCGCCTTATATAATTATATCAGATAAAGCTAAGGCGCAACCCCTGTTCTGCGCCTAATATAATTGTGTTAAAGGTAAGGCGCGACCCTTGCCCTGCGCTATACTCCTAGGTGTCCTAAGGCGCCCCCCGGGGCCGCGCTTTACACACGTGTATACCATGTCAGCATAAGGCGCGCTTCAGGGGACGCCTTACCCCACGTGGCACCAACTCAACACAAATTGCGTTTCAGGGGCCGCGTTTTTCTGCAAAGGGTGTTAGATCAAAAAATATAATCTGAACGGTGCCTGATCAGGAAATATATTGTTCAATGGTGATATATCGGGAAAATCGCCTAATTACATCAGGACAAGTAATTTCTTGATGAGATAAAGGGAAGGCAATTGATTATGACTTCCCCGTCAAGGCGTCAATAACCCTTGACACTATTCATAACAGAGTGACTGTAGTGGGAACTATTAGCCCCTTATCCTAAACAATTAAGCACATTACAACTTACCGTTACAAGCTATCTTCGCTTAATCTCCGAATTGTCAAATATGTCATCATTCAGGCAGAAAATTATTTAGTCTATCAATCTGTAGAGAAATAGTAGCACTAGGCAGTTGAATATTCAGGTAGTGTGTGAGTAGTGTTTATGTTTTGTTGGGCACTGACAATGCAAGTAGTTCTGACAACACAGCTCTTGGTGCACTCAATCAGTCCAGGAAGATCATACCACTAACTAGCGAAACTAGGCCACCTGCTCAATTAACAGAGGTTGATGGGAGTCAATTTTCAATTTTTTTTTCGCATTATTTGCCCGTAACAATTTTTTTTTCTTCTTCTGATTCGGTAAGAAAGGAAGGGTATTATTTCCTGATTCACTTCGAAACAGTAAAACAAAAAGGAAAAACTCAGAGCAAAAGGATACTGCCCACGATACTTATGATTTGGAGCCCGCATAAAGCCGTTAAGAGTGTTTCCTAGGGCTGTTAGTCTGCTGAACATCTATACTTTTGAGTCTTGCATATACTGGAGACCTTTTAAATGTCACCTTCGATATGATTATTACCTTTTCCACCTAATAAACTAACAGAAAAAGTATGAACTGAATTATCATGAACATAGATGGTACATGCACGTCGGGTTGTTTCCGGAAATGCGGATTAATATATTATTAATATACTGCGTTATCGGATATATTAAAAGATATTTGATAAATTCGGTTTAAAGTTATCGGAAATATCGAGTAATAATAATGTAATAGGTGGAAATCATGAAGAAATATTAAAAACTTTGGCAACCGGCAAACTTAGCTTGTCGGTTTGTGTCGATACTTTATAAAAATATATTGATCCATAACAATATATAACATGTAAAAAATGACAAAACCGATTTATAAATGACAAAACAGGTAAAGCGCTATCGGATATATTGAAAGTGTCGATACTTTATAAAAATATATTGATCCATAACAATATAACAGGTAAAAAAATGACAAAACCGATCTCGAAATGACAAAACCGATAAAGCGCTACCAGATATGTTGAAAGTGTCGATACTTTATTATAAGTATCAACACTTTTGGAATTTAAAAGAAAAGAAGTTATAGCGCCAATAAAGTGTCGATACTTTATAAAAATGTATCGATCCATAACAATATAACAGGTAAAAATATGACAAAACCGGTCTCGAAATGACAAAACCGGTAAAAAGCTACCATATATGTTAAAAGTGTTGATACTTTATTATAAGTATCGACACTTTTGGAATTTAAAAGAGAAGAAGTTATAGCGCCAATAAAGTGTCGATAATTTATAAAAATGTATCGATCCATAACAATATAACAGGTAAAAATATGACAAAATCGATCTCGAAATGACAAAACCGGTAGTAAAAAAGTGTGCTTGTGTGGTCATTTTTATTTCAGAATTTTCATTTTTTAATACAAAAAGTTGGATATTTTAAGCAAAACCCAGAAACAGATCTCTCAACGCAAACTTATGATATACTCTTATTATATCCATAGGATAAAGTTAGGTCAGTTTTAGTTTTTTTTTGGTTAGGATTTTGTGTTATTGAAACTGTTGATTGAAGAACTCAAACTGGTGCACGCATAAGTGTCGATGCATTTATGAAAAGTATCGATCCAAAAAACATCGAAATCGATAATTATTATGTAACAGGTAAATTTACAATGTAACCGATAAAAATATAATGGTTAATTAATAAATAGGTTTACATTATGTATCGACACTCTTTAAATATGTGTCGATACTTTTTTCCCGAAATGAAAGCACAACAAGGTACACACATAAAGTGATGATACATTTAAAATTGTATCAATCCCAAAAACATTAAAACTGATAATTATAATGTAATAGGTAAATTTACAATGTTGCCGATTTAAATATATCTGTTTAATTAGAAAATAGATCAATATAAACGCTGTCTATTACATTATATAAGCGCTACCTAATATATTATTGTACTTGATAATATTTCCGGTTAAATGATATAACATAACTGGTCTAAATTTTAACTGGTCACTTATTTAACAGGTCACGCCATTTTTTAGCCGTTTTTTAGGCGCCGCACAGCAGAACTTCTCCATGCATGTTCTTGTGGAAGACTTTTGTTTTGTTTTCATTAGAAAAAATGTTGCTATGTACCAAAGTTGTTGCATAGCTCTTTTTTATGGTCATTCCATGGTAAAATAGACTGCAAAATCACACAGTTAGTACTGACAGGAAGAATAAACAATAATTGAAAAGGAACAGATTCGTAAACCATGTCGTGGCATAACCACTGCCTTAGAAACGAATTCGTCCTGATGTGTGTAATCGCTGCAGTAGGCGGACCGTCCCCTGATGTTAACAAGGTGGCTCCGAATTTCGTACACCCGAAACCGGAGTAGACTACTGGTAGTATTGCTCTTCTTATCAGAAAGCACACAGAGAGAATATCTAGAAAATACTTGGAGAGTGAATTCTGTAATGTTGAAAGTGAGTTGAGAAGCTGAATTCAACTCTCTATTTATAGGCTAGAAATAGAGTTAATATCGTCCATATAAAAATTCAGGATTAAAATCATTCTTTGTAACAGCTGAAACGTTTAGATGAACCTGACTCAGAAATAATCCAACTCCTGATATTAACAACTTGTCTCCTCTATACAAAGTTGGAAATCAGTCCAGATACATCTTAACGTTTTTTATTTAATTTTGGAAAAATCTGTTTAATTTCTGATAACTCATAAACCAGCTGTTATCATTTGAATTTAACTAGTACTCAGCAACCTATAAATATCAGTTGAAATCTTTGTCGAATACACGTATTACCACGACCACGAGCCGAGCCGGACGGCGGCGGTGCGCGAGAGTTTCACTTGTTCTCTTTCACTCAACAAGGAAGTGGGAAATCCAAACCATAAATACTCATTCCCAATAGTATTTCTAATACTATGTGGGATTGAGCATTACCAACATTTCATGCAAAGAATGTTATTGCGGACAAGGTATTTGTGTTATATATATGATAATAAAGAAAAACTATTTGCCTATGTTGATGTGTTGTTTTCTTAATTGTTATAAGCAACCTGTAGCAAAAGCTCCTGAAGAGAAAGCTCCCAAGAAACCTGCAGCTAAAGTTACCGAAAAGAAAAGGAAAGCTGTTGAAGTTGCTAAAGAAGAACCCCTTGATCCTGTTGCCGAGAAACTTGGCCAACAAAGGTAGGACTTGGTATATTTAGCTCTATAGTAATGGCGCTAAGAATCTTCCTAGAACTAAGCTCATCCAAGTTGAGAACTAATACTTTGTAGGGTCCTCTAAGCAACTTTTTTTTCTTCTTGCATCTGCATATTTTGATTTTAGACTTTCCATGTCCTCCAAAATTCACATGTTTGTAATATTTGATGATTTATTTGGGCATTTGCTGTATCATAGGCTTGTTGAAGAAGCTGATTACAAGCCCACCACTGAACTTTTTGCCAAGAAAGGAGACGATAAGACTCTTGATAATTTTATCCCCAAATCTGAGAGTGACTTTTTGGAATACGCGGAGCTTATTTCTCATAAGCTACGCCCATATGAGGTGAGTTTAATCATCTTTCTTTTTGAGTCTTGGTTCTATATTGAGAAAGTTCTTAGATTACCCAAATTCATACTTTGATGCAGAAAAGTTACCATTATATTGCACTACTAAAGGCAGTGATAAGACTATCAGTGACTTCCTTGAAAGCAGCTGATACTAAAGATATAGCGTCTTCAATCACAGCAATTGCAAATGAAAAGTTGAAAGCAGAGAAAGAAGCCACAAGTAAAAAGAAGACAGGTAAAATACATGCAGTTCTTTTTTCTTTTTTTTCATTCTTGTATATCATGGTATATTCCTCAGACAGAAAGACAAACAGAAATATCTACGAGATCAATTTTTTTCTTCATTGATAATTTTAAATCAGTTGTGGGAAGAAAATGACATAATTTTTAATACAATTTGTTATTGTTGAAGTCCCTTTAGAAATATATAGGGGTAAAGTCCTTGTTTTCTATTGGTTTCGTGTAGGGTGGTTCATCGTATTAACCTTGGTTTAAATAAGAGGAAGATTAAGAACATATAGATATAGTTTTTACTTCTGTTTCAGCATTTTACTTACTGCTCAGCCAACCTTTTCATACTAACTGCAATTCTCTAACTGCTTTTTGGACATTTTTTAGGTGGCAAGAAAAAACAGCTCCATGTTGATAAACCAGATGATGATTTGGTTGTTAACGCTTATGATGATAAAGACGAGTATGACTTTATGTGATTCATTTGGGCCATATACCACCATGTTGTAGTGTTTGCATAGGGATCTCTTGTTTACTGCAGCAGCAAATGTAGAGGATGATCCGACGGCTCTTTTTCTTTTTGGGGTTTCCGATTCTTGGAGGAATTTACTCAGTCTTATGAACACATCCATAATGTGAAGATATTGGAACCATTAGATTAAAACTTAAGAAGGAAAGTCTTGTTCTGTGGTTTTGGGCGGTTTTGGTGTTTTATTACCTTAAAATTCATACGCTGTTCTTGCACAATGCTATTGTAAGCACACACCAATAATACTATTTGTTTGTGCATTATGAGAACTATGTGCTTCACATGATTCCTATAAGTTTGAATAAAAAACAGATCTCACGGACAAATGAAAAAAAGGAAATTGAGAAGGCAGATTATTGCCGTCTGTTATGATATTTAACAAGCCATTGTTGGCTTAAAAATGGTATACAAAATTAATTATGAATATTGTTGAATCCAAAAGAAAAATACAGATGCCATTGAATAACCAAGTTGAAAATACGAGGGAATGTTGAAATCACCAATTGAGGTCGAATGAAGCAGGCAAGGTACTGTCCAAATATAATAGTAAATTACTCGGGAATTCAGGATTCCTAAGCATAGGATTGGTATATACTCTTAACCTTGATATATTTATAATTGTTTTGGGTCTTTGATTCTACTTTTTATCATTTGCATTTGTAGGAAATGAAATTATAATTAAGCAGATATCCACAATTTTGTTCTTTGCGTTTGTAAAAAAATAAGGGTAAACTACATGCTTAGTTACCTAATTATTCTTGCGGTTTTGTTTTGGTCATCCAACTATTTTCTATCTCAAAATTATACTTGAAATCACGTTTTTGTTTTGTTTTGGTTATCCATCGTTAAAAGATTAACGGCGATGTTGATATGTCAAATAAGGTAATGTCACGTCATTATTGAAAAATAAAAATGTCACATCAGTAATTTTATTTATATTTAGGGTGAATTTCATATTTAGTCACCTAAATATTCTCTCAGATTCGATTTAGTCACTCAATTACTTTTTTAAAAACCATTCCTAAAGTTATACTTTGATTTTGTTTTGATCACCTATCGTTAAAAATTAACAATACATATCATCATAAGGTAACACCACATATCATTGAAAAATTTTAAAAATTACCACGTTCGCAGTTCTATTTTTTTTTAATGACAGATGATCAAAATGGAACAAAAATGTAACTTTAAGTATGCTTTTGAAAGAAAAAAATAGTTGGGTGACCAAAAATGAATTATGAAAATAATTGGATGAGTAAATACATAGTTTACCCTATTTTTAACAACAGATGAAAAAAAAAGAAACAAAAATATAAGTTTAAGTATGATTTTAAAAAAAATAGTTGAATACCCAACACAGAATCATAAGAATAGTTGAGTGATTAAATGTGTAGTTTATCCTAAAATTGACTTCTTGATGCTTTAGTTCTTCATAATGTCATGCCATTGGAAACTCAACCTTGAAAATGACTAAAAAACCGAATTCAAGGCTAAAGCATCATTGAACTTGAACCTATATAAACAACCCTGCTTGAACAAGAGCTAATCACCTCTACAAATTCCGCTAAACCAAGCCCAAAATAGAGCTTTAACCATCTCCATTTATATATATATATACATACAATGGGTGTCTCCAGTTACAGTGATGAATATACTTCCAAAATCCCTCCGGCCAGGCTTTTCAAGGCCTTGATTGTCGACTCACACAATCTCATCCCAAAACTCATGCCATTGGCTATTAAAAGCATTGAAATTACCGGCGATGGGGGAGCCGGCAGCATCAGGCAGATTAAATTCGCTGAAGGTGAAATAAACTTAACTTACTATCCACATTGGTTTGTGTAACCAATGCCTATATGCACTGATTAAGGATAATTATGCAGGTAGCCAAGTGAAGTACATCAAGAACCGGGTCGACGAGCTCGATGAGAAGAATTTTTCATTCAAGTATAGTTTGATCGAAGGTGATGGAATGATGGACAAGCTCGAAAAGATTACATATGAGGTTAAATTCGAGACCACAGCAGATGGTGGGAGCAAAAACAAGATGACAAGCACTTACTACAGCAAGGGTGATTTTGAGCTAACCGAGGAGGAAGTTAAGGCTGGCAAAGACAAGGCCTTGGCTATGTATAAAGTTGTGGAAGCCTATCTTCTTGAGAACCCTGATGCTTATGCTTCTTAATTCAACATATTTCTTTGCAGATGATCGATGGAGGTGAGAGTGGTCAAGAATTTATCTCTGGTTTGATGTTTCTAGTTTAATAAGGATTGGAATCCATTAGTTGTAATGTGTTTTTCTTCCTTTGATGTATTATCTCATATGGTGTTCATGCAAATTACTTGCTTATGGTGTTCATCAAATTGAACTCTCATTCTAAAATAATTCTAATGGTTATCGTTCATTACACGTAATAATCTCTGATTGGTGAAGGCAATTTTTTTAACTTTAACAACAGGGCAAAGTGTTTAGAATAATCCTACAAGGGTACAAACAAAGACAAAAATGACGCAAGGGCAAAATTGAAAATTAAAACTAAAATATAATAAAAATTGATATAATCTATGAGTATATATTTAAAAATATATATTTTATATATCTTATTAAAATTTTTTATTTTATATAATTTTATAATATATATTTGATTTAATTTTGTAAAATTAATATAAATATATATTTAAATTTATGAGAATCAAAATAAAACGAGAATATCATTTTAAGATTTGAGTTGAAGGATACTCGTCGTATGTTAGATCATACATTTAATCTAACATTATTCTTTATTTTAAAAAATAATAAAATAAAAACTAATTTTTATATATAACATAGTAGTCATACTTTTTTATATTCCATATTCAATATCAATTATCATACAACAGGAGTAGGGGTGTTCAAATTAATCAGTTACCGTTAACTGTAACCATTAATTGATGTAACCACTACATTTTGTAGCTTAATTAATTCGAACCGTTAAGATTAAAAAGTTTCGGTTAACCGAACAGTTAAAAATATCGATTAACGGTTACGGTTAATGAATTTTAATAAATGGTTTACCATCGTTTAACCGTTAATAAATTATAACTAATTAATTATATTTTTTTAGAGAATAGAATTAAAAAAATCAAAACGGTTCTTCCTATTTTTTAATTATCATGTTTATCTTATATAATATCACATTAAATCAAACATAGATGAAAGAAATACATGATTTTAAATTACAAAATATAAACATACATATATGATTTTAAATTGTAAAAAAATGAATATACCTTGTAATAAATATATTTATAAAATAAAATGCATTTATAAATAAATAAGATTTTTACAAATAAATATGTTTTCGTCATCGTAAATTTTATTAAAATTTTAAGTTGTGTTATGTTTGAAAAAAAATTATTATAGTTAACCTATAATCGAATCGTTATGACGGTTAACCGTTTCTTAATGGTTAAGTTATGATTAATAAAATTTAATAACTATTATAACAGTTAACCAACCGTTTAGACTAAACGGTACAGTTAACCGGCCGTGAATATCGAAGGCTTACGTTTAAGGAGTTTATATAATTTTTATTAAAAAGATTAATTGATCATTATATGATGTTTTTATGATGGTTATATAATGATTTTATTGAATAAAAAAATGTATAAAAATAATAAAATATGATTTTTTAAAAATAAAATCCATACATTGTAGTACAAACTAGGATGATTTTGTCCATTATTTTTAGAAGAGTATGGGTTTATACGTTAATTAACTTTCAAATTAATGAACATAATTAGAATGAAAGACAACACTGGTTATATGAATGAAACACAGCAATTCGCCAATAAAATCAACGGCGGTTCTCCCATTGGTGGCACGGCCAGTTGCTTGACCTCCTGCCAAATCGATGCCATCAGGAGTGTAGTTTGGCTCTGGTGGTTTGTTCGAGATAATTATTGTTTCCGGTGTTAATATCGAGTCGGCCAAAACATATACGGTAGGGAGGTTGTTGCAGGAGAAAAATTGTGGTTCACAATGAACAAGACACATCAAAAACATTCAGCAACAACTTCGCTGTCGTATATGTTTCCGGCGACTCATACATCGATGCCGGGAGCAACAATTATCCAGCAACAACTATGTTTTCTGAGTTCATAGAAAAGAAGAAGTGCTTTTTAAAGACAAGAAAAAGGTATCAAAACGAATTCAGACGTACACCGCTACAACATCCAATATAAATGAATTCAAGGTTTATATAAATACGTGATATTGACAAATACATCACTACAACTTGGATGGGCAAAGGCTGAAAAAGCTGTTCGAGACGTTTTAAGAGATGGAAATTAATGAAGTGTATTGAAATTTATGTATCTCTCTTAAAAAAAATTAAATTGCATAAATTAACCAATATAAAATCATTGGTTTATTTATATTTTTTTATGAACGATGAGAGTGATTTTGTTAAGATTAAAAATATTAGTCATGACTCATGTAATGATGAAATATGATACTCTAATAGTGAGATTAAAATCAATGGTGAAATATATACGTGTTTAGATTTAAATGAGTAAGAACACTGAATCATCGTTCATCCAATTCAACCTCTCACCACTTCACAACTTTTACCTGAAACCGTAAAGACCACCGGTCTCCAGCCGGATCATCGCATCAGCACCGTCAGTCACCAACCACCCATGAGTTTGATTCTCATTTACTTTACTCTTTTATTTTCATTTCTTACCTTTAAACCAATCATATGATGCTCACATGTAGACATATTACATCAATATTTCAACTCACTTGAACACGTAGACATATTCCAAAAATGAAACGTTGATTGATTAGTGATTTAAATATTTATCATTTCATTGTTAATTACTCATTTATTTGTCACCTTTTGTTGTTGATTTGGACGTTTAAACTTGTTTTCTGCACAAGATGTCAGATTTCATAAATAACACTTAAATAATGCGATTATGCAGTTTCTTTTATTTTCTAGAATCAAGGTCTGTTTAGACGGCATGACTGT